AATTCAACCAATGGTCCTCAGCTTTAATATGCATCAGGGAAACCCAGAGGCCTTCATTTTTTCTTTATATAATTTTCAAAAAAGTTTACAGAAAGATTGGATTTTCATTCATTCATTGTTGCACATTTCCCCCTTCTTTCTCCCTCATCCAGTCCACTTTATAATGTCCCCTTGTTCCAGATTGTTGTCATACCTATAACATCTAATCATATATTCCTTTCAAACAGATCTTCTCCTCATCTGTTCCAACGCAGTGTTCATTCTCTATCCACTCATTTCCTATCCTCCTCCAAATCACCATGTCAATCCTATTTTATAATAATAGTGTTATGCAGTATTTGTCCTTTTGTAACTGGGATACTTCACTCAACATAATGTTCTACTGGCTCACCCATATTGTGTAGTGTTTTAGAAATTCATTGTTTTTTTAATGCTGCATAATATTTCATTGTGTAAATGTACCACGTTTTTTCTGTCCATTCATTGGGCACTATAGTCTGCTTCCATCTCTTTGCTATTATAAATAACACGTCAATAAACATGAGTGTGCATACATCTGTTTGAGTCATGGCAATGGTTTCTTTAGGGTATATTTCCATTTGTGGAATTACTGAGTCAAATGATACTTCTATTTGTAACTTTTTTGAGAAAGCACCAGACCACCTTCCATAGTGTCTGTACTATTTTACATTCCCACCAGCAGTGAATAAGAGTTCCAGTCGCTCCACAACCTTACCAGCATTTGTTGTTTGCTGCCCTGTTGAACTTGGCTATTGTCCTTGGAGTGAGATGATATCTCATAGTTGTTTTGATTTGCGTCTCTCTGATAGCTAGGGATTTTGAACATTTCTTCATGTGTTTGTTTGCTATCTGAATGTCTTCTTTGGTAAAGTGTCTATTCATACCTTGTGCCTATTTTGTGATTGGGTTTTTTACCTTTTTTTGTTAAGGTGCTGGAGTATTCTATACATTGTAAATATGAGTTCCTTATCAGATATGTTATTACTAAATTTTTTCCCAGTCTGTGGTTTTCCTTTTTACCCTGTTGGAGAAGTTTTTTTTATGTGCTCAGAGGCCTTCTGGGCCCTGTGCTTAGGTTCTGATTCATGCAGTATAGGGTAAGGGAGTTTATTTCTAACAAGTTCCCAGGTACTGCTGATGCTGTGGTCCAGGAGAACCCCTGAGTGGCAGGGATTAAGTGGGCCTACCTCTGGTCTCAAGCATAAGTAGTGAGGGTTGATCTCATACAGAGTCAGATAATGAATCACAGTAAGAATCAGCCTCATATTTTCCAAATGCTGCAAGCCTCGCCACATGCTGTCTTGTCTATGACCTCACATAAGCCTCCCCACATTATTTTTTCCTATTTTTAACGAAGAGATTTAGAACTGGCTGGGCTAGTACCGCCTAGGAAGATAGTTTTAAGTGATATTAAGAGTTGAATCCCCACTCCTGATTCACCATCACTCTGTGGTAGCATTATTACAGGGATTCTGGACATCTCTCTGCCCTTACCGGTATACCTTCCCTTTCCCAAGCTACTGTCAGAATTTTTTTTAGTTTGAATCTCAGAGCCCCATAATACCATAGAGAGTGGTGTTATTTTTCCTTTATACCCTGATGTAGATGGTTTTCAGATACAACTACTCCTCACTCTTCTACATTGTTATGTTACAAAGACTAGGTCATTACATGAAATAAAAATTTTGTAAGAGTTAGAGCCCTTCCTTAACTTCATATGTTTCTCACTGCTCATCTGGCACCCTAGCACATCATGAGATAAATGTTGCACGGACGGATCCCTTCCCTACTCTTGGAGACCATGAAGGATTGTAGATGATGATGGTTATATGCTGCCCACTGCCATCTACCACCACCAATAACAACTCCTTATTTGTCCTCCATCTGCCCTGGCCTCTTGTAATCCTGTTTGATCCCCTTCCCTACCATCTCTTCCTACTTCCTCTTACCAACAATCCTGTCACTTTTGGCCTCTTGCTTAGCTTTTCCCTACCCCCATCAACCTTCAGTGATTCAACCATTGCTCTTAGAAACCTTGTAAGTCTGAAGTTAACCTTATTTCTATGGCTCAACTTTTATCCAACTAGATGGGCTTATAAGGTGAATAATAACACTGTGGAGGTACTCACTTCTTAAATAATCAACCACACCAAATCATAACAGCATTATTCACCCAGGGGATTTTTCCCCAATGTAAAAACTCAGAAGGCAAGAAAAGACAGGCTAGAACTATGAATGGAAATGAGAATCACAGTGAGGAAATGGGAAGAGTACTTTTACACTGTGGGGATGATAATTATTTCTAGAAAACAAAATTCCTATGAGTTGGAAAACCAATTGCTCTGTAAACTTTCACTCAAAGTATAATTAAAAACAAATATCCGCTTTTTGTGTTTCCAAAGTGCGGATGACTCTGACCAGACCACGACTGATCATTGAACCTCCTCTTCCCTGCCTCTTTGGCTCTTTTCGCTAAAGCTTTGAATTGAAAAAAACAAAACAAAACCAAAAAACCCTCCCTAAAAATCCCTTGCCAGGGAGTTTATTCTGACCCCTAGTGGCCTTTTAGGAAAGAGAAGAACTGCCCCAGAGAGCGTTCAAGGCTGTAAATCATTATGGAAGCCGAGTCCCCATCTTTCTCCTGCAGAGCGCCTGATGGTCTCTTTAAACCACTGACCTTTCATTTAGCAGCTGAACACTTAACTACTCCGCCACCAAGGCTCCTTCAAGCTGGAATAACCCAAAACATCCATGAAATGAAGAAACCCAGAATAGGCAAATTGCCCTAGGTTACACAGCCTCAAAGACTTACTTAATATAGTCCAATGGCTTCAAGAAATCTGCATTACCTCCAGGGTCGTGCATGCCTTCTATGACCATGGTTAGGATCTTTGAAAATACTGTTCTAAGCGTACCAATTCCATCGTGTTGAAGCATCTCTTTTTTGGGTGAAAGAGTCAGGGCTGGGGTTAGAGTAAACAGGGGTTGTGTGTTGGAGGCTTGTGCTTGGACATCCTTAGGAAGCCCTGCATCAGCAGTTATCCCACAGGGTGATTCTGGGCACAGTCCTTCCTTCTTTTTGCCTCAATTTCCTTGTCTCGGAGTTGGGTGCACTTTCAGCTTCGATGTTCTATGATTTCCAAGCTACCTGCATTTCATAAAAGTGTCATAAGGTTAGAAGAAGCTTCCATTGAAACAGTGGTAGGAGTTTTCTCATCTGGGCCAAGCCCACCTGGGACATGGAAGTGTTTTTTTTCTCTCTCTGTCTCTCTCTCTCCTGTCCTTTTCCACAGTCTGATGTTTGTTCCAATGCTCCTCGGCTTTGGAGGTGCCCAGCTGGTCCTGACTGTTCTCAGTGTTGGTGGACTGTGGTCTCTCTGTCCTCTTCCACTCTGGTATCTGAGATATATCATCTCCCTGCCCACCACTCCATGGTTCAAAATCAAGAAAAGAGTGTGCCTTTGTTTGCAGCACAGCTTCTGACCACTAGGCCACCAGAGCTCCCTGTGTATACTAGGATTTTATTATTTGAAGATTAATAAAATACATTCTTTGCTGTAAAAAAAATGAAATCAAGAAAAGAGTGTATCAGAGGTGTGTCCTTTCTCCATACCTTTTCCATCTATATGTGAACAGATCCTTCAGGAGCCTGGACTTTAGGAAGAAGAATGTGGCATCAGGATTGGAGGAAGACTTACCAACAAGTGTGTTATGCAGATGATACAACCTTCACCAAAACTGAGGTCTTGAAACGTTTGTTGCAGAAGGTCAAGTACTGCAGCTTCCAATATGGATTGTATCTCAACATCAAGAAAGCAAAGATTCTCACTACCCGGTCAATGGGAAGACTCATAATAGATGGGGAAAAGATGGAAGTGGTTAATGATTTTATCTTGCTCAGATCCACAATGAACACTCTTGGCATCAACAGCCAAGCAATCAAAAGACAAATTACCTTGGGTAAATCAGCTGTCAAGGACCTCTCCAGAGTGCTAAAAAGCAACAATGTCAGTCTAGAGATTAAGGTGTGCCTGATCCAGGCCATGGTCTTCTCAGTTTCTTGCTGTGCATCTGAAACTTGGACAATGAATAAGGATGACAGAGCAAGAATTAATATCTTTGAGTTGTCGTACTGGAGAAGAGTATTGAACATCCCATGAACTGCCAAGAGAACAAACAGGTCTGTCTTGGAGAGGATGAAATCAAACTGCTCCTTGTATGCAAGGATAGTTTTGAAACTCCATCTCATATCCTTTGGCATATTTCCAGGAAGGACCCGTCCTTGGAGAAGGCCATCATGTTTAGAAAGGTAGAGGGGGCAGCGCAAGAGAGGAAGACCCTGGATGAGATGGATTGACTCAGTGACTATGGCAATAGGGTCAGGTGTGTGAGTGAGACAGTGCGGTGGAATCAAGATAGGGCAAGGTTCAGAACCATTATTCATATGGTTGCTATGAGTCAGCATATAACACCACCACCACCTCCCAAAGGATACATCCTCCTTTCCCTCAGCATCACGTGGGAATTTGTCCAAGTTTTCATCTTTGGTTTTCTGCCAACCATTTTACACAAACTTGTCAAATTATTAACCTTCTCAGTGAGCCCAAAGTGCCATCCTTTTTTCACACACAAAATATCCAGGGCTCAAAGAAGGTAACAGCTTCATCTGGATTAACACGTTGGTTATTGCCAGTGGCAAGTGAGTTTCACACCCAGGTTTGTCACACCTCTCCCCACAGTGTCCTGTTTAGTCTCTGCATTGCTTGTTCTGTGTTGGAGTTGGGGAGAAAAGCCTGTAGTCTTCCTGGAGTTTTGTGACAGCTCTGTGGTTTTCCTGTGGGCTGGATGGGAGAAGTTGTCTGTGTTTGGTGGGGGTGCACAGGAGCCACAGGAAGGTGTTCCGAAGGCCAGCATCACTGTGTGTGTTTGCAGGAGAAAGCCCCCTTCTTCCTAGTGGTTGAATTTCTGTTTGTTTCCAGAGTCTGGAAGGAGACCAAGCCATCCTGCAGAGAATAAAGAAGTCTGTGCGGGCGATTCACAGCTCTGGCCTTGGTGAGTGAGATACCTCCTGCCCAGGTGGCCCCTCTCCCAACCCCAGCTGGGAGGTAGTCCTGAGCACACTTCCCTCCCCTCCTCAGGCCACGTGGAGAGTGAGGAACAGTACCGGGAGGCTGTAGAATCCTTGGGCAACAGCCACCTATCCCAGAATAGCCACGAGCTATCCACAGGCTTCCTGAACTTGGCTGTGTTCACTCGTGAAGTGACTGCACTTTTCAAAAACCTGGTGAGGCCCCTTGCCTTCCTCAGGCAGCCCTTAGCCTAGGCTCTGGGTAAATCCAATGGTCCTAAGAACCTGACTGAGAAAGGGCAGGGCTCTCTCTTCTCCTGGAGTTCTCCATGCCTTAGACCTTGACCTACGCTCTGACGCACACATTATACTCTCTTCCCTCCTCTCTGACTTCTCACACAACTAACTTCCTTCTTTCTCCCACCTTCACTTTGTCTTCTGTGGTGACTATCCAGGGGTGAACCCATGTGAGGGACGGTTTCCTGGAGGGCAGTTGGGGAAAGAGGGAACAGACTCTGGGGTTGCTGCGGCTGTCTCCTTTCCTCACCACCCTCTGCTCTCCCAGTCCCATCTGCTTTCTTCTCAAATCCCGAGACCTGCTCTTGATTCAGCAGGCCTTTCAGCTGCTGCCCAGGGCCCAGGCAGGCTTTATAGAGTTAGAAGTGAGGGTGTTCTGGCAAGGGAGCAGTCAGGACTGACACAGGATGCTCTTGAATGAGGGGGTGCTGTGTCGATGGGGCTTAGCAGGGAGACAACAGCTTTATGGGTTTTTGACTAACACCCATCTTTCCCTTCCACCTTTCCCATCCTCACATCCCTTTCTTTCCTTGGCCTCATGATGATTCATGGAACAGACAGTCACCTGAAGTGGGGGTTGTCTGCTTTTTTCAGGTTCAGAACCTAAACAACATTATCTCTTTCCCACTGGACAGTCTGTTGAAGGGACAACTGAGGGATGGGCGACAGGTGAGCTTCAGCATGGGAGCAGGGGTGTAGACATGGTGAGAAGGAGGGAGAGAGTTGTATGCAGGGACTTAGACCGAGGCTGAGCCACGGGCTGAAAATGAGAAGGCTGTCATGTAGCAGTGCTGAGTCGATATCTCCATCTCCGACCCTCGGGAGGACTAGAGGGCCTGGCTCTGGGGTCAGCCTAGGACAGCTGACCTGTCTAGCAGGCCTCCATGTGCAATGTCTTGTCCAGCTCTAACAATGGCCCTATGAGGGAGGGCCTAGAGATACTCTCATCCCCACTTGGTACTTGAAGAGGTTGAGGGTCAGGGAGTTAAGTGGCCTGTTAGCAAGTGGAAAAGCTATTGTGGGAATCAAGGCCTCCTGGCTCCCATGCCTGGGTCTGACTCCCACGCCCAGGTCTGACTCCCACGCCGGGGCTGTTCTCTGTGTCTGGCAGCCTCTGGCTGAAGGCTGAGTGAAGCTCAAAGAAGGTGACAGAATAATCTCCCTGGGAAGTCTGCCCTAAAAGGCTCAGGGGAGCAGCTTTCCTTCCCCCAGAGGGCTCCTCCCTGCCCTCCGCTAGGTGGTAGCCTGGGAACCTCCCAAACCAGACAGGCAGCTTTCTCACTTGGCTGACTGAGGCACTTGACTGTTCAGAGGGTGTGAGCTGCCTGTCTGGGTGAGGCCCAGGCAAGCTGGGCCAGGGGTCAGCAGAGTCTTCCTGCTGCTGTGTGGCATCCTCTCTGTGCCTGGTTTTCAACCTGTCCACTTCCTGGTCAGAGGATGATGTAGGACCAGGCAGGAGGGAACAGTAGGATAACGTTAGGGTGGAGTTTGACCTTCATCCTTCCATCCTCATCTTCATGGCTAATCTCAATCTCCTGAGGATTCATCACACCCCCACACCCCAGGCCAGGGCCCCCCCAACCTGACTGATTCTTGGCAACCATGAACAAGACAGTCAAGCGGGAAAAGACCCTCAGTTCTGAGAAAGGGAGTTGGTTTGGTCTTTTTAGGGGTGAGGATACAGGGGCAGGTTTGAGATCAGGCTGTAGAAGCAAGACTGGTTAGAGTAAGGAAGGCTCGGAGCAATACAGGTGGGTCTCCCAGAAGATAGCAAAGTGGACTGCTACTTATTCCACACCGTAAGCGCCCTGTGGGGCTGTCTCTTTAAAACCTCAGGAATCAAGAAAGCATCTGGAGAAGGCATGGAAGGACTACGAATCCAAAATGTAAGTGCCTGCAGCCAGGGTGGGCTTTGCATGACAGATGTGCTTCTGTTACACAGAAGGATGAATAGTAGGAAGAACCTGAATGTGGCCAGGGTATGTCACCCAGAAATGTGTGGCATCTTGCACTGCAGAGGTCTTTACAAAGGGTGGTTTATTCATATTCCGTTTGCACTGGAGTTCAAGACCCATTAATGGGAGCCTATTATAAAGGGGGGTGTCTCAGGATGCTGGACAGATCCAACTGCTTAGGGAGCCAGATGTAGGCCTGGGTAGAAAGAAGCCATCATTTACCCAACACCACCATGTGCTGGTTATTTTTATTCTTTACATTAATCCCGCCCAGTGGAGGAGCTATTAATATTCCAGTTGCCACAAGAGGAATTGGAGGCTCAGAGAAGTTAAATCACTTGTCTGAGGCCACACAGCTAGGTGGAGGTAGAATTGGAGTTCTTGGCAGCTACTTGCTCCTCTTTCCAGAACAGTATCTGTAATCATTCAGTTAGACATGGAGGATGACGAGAGAGTTGTTGTACATATGCCTCCTGTGTGCATCTCAAGGCACTCCAGCTCACTCACGAACTATTGGACATGCTGGGGACAAAAGGAGCCGTAGGCTCCCTGTGACCTCTACCAGATGGAGACTCTTTGGAGTCAGGGCCATGCTCCCTCTGAAAGCTCTACAGAAGTTATGGGGGTTTTTTTCCCCCTTGATTTGTCCAGACTTCTAATGATTGCTGGCAATCCTTGCTGCTCCTTTGCTTGGGGCAGCATCCCTCCAATCTCTGCCTCTATCACCATTCACCTGTCCTCTCTCAGAGTTTGTGTACTTCTGTGCTCAAATTTTCTTCTTATACAAGGACACCAGGCATTGGATCCAGGCCCATTTTAATCTAGTGTGTGTACTTCTTAACTTTGTTACATCTGTAAGAAACACCTGGTTTCCAAATAAGATGAGAGTTATAGGTATAAGGGATTAGCATTTGAACGAATCTCTCTTTTAGGGAAGGACACAGTTCATCCTATATCACGTTGCTTTTCATGGGGAATCCAGATTCAGTCAGATTACTAGTGGACATACATTGCTGTCTAGCTCCATTCTTACCAAACCAGTCTGGGTAGCAGCTGATAAGGCCAAGGGCACTGATGGAATCTATTCTTGAGAACCTCAGATATTCCTGAGAACCTTGCCAGCTGGCTGTTCATGTTGAAGGAGCTTCCCCTCTCCTCCTGGGCTGTTGAGAGAGGCAGCGTTCTGAGGCTCTGTGGAAGGCCCAGATATGTCTGTGTTGTTCTGTACACGTTCGTTTTCTCGTCTGTAAAATAGGGCCAGTGATTCCTTGCAGGGTTGATATGGGAAAGAAATAAGCACTTAAAGTGCTTGGTACTTCGTTCAGCAGGTATTTATTGACCATCAATCTCAAGCCACAATTGGGACACAGTGAGAGACTTGAGAGGCAGGAGCCCAAGCCTCTGTTCCAAGTATCTTCCAGGACAAGCCTGTGGTCTTGGGCAAGTCACTGCCTGTCTTTGGGTCTCAACTTTTTCATCTGTCAAATGGTCCCTAGCTGTGATCTCTGAAAAGATGTAGTGTGACTGCCTACACTGGGCACAGAAATGAAACTAAACGGAGTTGTAGAGTTAGTTCCTGGGGCTGCATGCAAAGCTCTGGCTCCAGGCACATCCAGCTGACTCCTGTACTTAATTAGCTGTGTAACTTGGGCAAGTAACTTGTCATCTCTGGTCCTCAGATTTTCTCATCAGTAAAATGGGATAATGATTCCTGCCTCATGGGGGTATCACTTCACTGTGTGAAAGAGCCACTAGATTGCCTGTTATAAAGTTGCTGTTGTTGTGTACTAGAGTCGAAACTGACCCTTAGCTCACCTTCCAGCAGATTTTCAGAGTCAGTTAATAACACAGAAGGACATTTCCCATCCTTCTCCTGCGTAGCAGCTGGTGAAGTCAAATTTGGTACCTTTGGGATTGTAGCACAGCTTCTTACCACGAGACTGCCAACACTGCCTACTACACATTAAATTAGTGCTTAAAATTCATAATCATTAGCACCAACAGCTAATACTTAGTAAAAAGTTTCCTTTTTTCCAGACACCGTGAGAAGCTCTTCACCTCTGTTATCAGATCTACTCCCCTAGACAGACAAGGAAGGGCCCTGCCATTATCCCAGGTTACAAAGTGGTGGAAGAAAAGCAGTGCCATCACAACCCCTTGGTGGACCCCACAGGCTTGTAAGGCAGTGAAGTGGGTCAGTAAGTGAAATGCAGAGCAAAAGTATCACAGTGATGGTAGCAGCCCAGAGGTAGTAGAGAAAATGAGTCGTTTTGTTTGGATAGAGGAGGAGTGGTCAGATAAGGCCTAACAGGATGGTTGGCACCTATACCTGGTTCAAGAGTCGGGGGTAGTGCCTGATTCCTCATGATTTCCTTCCTCTCCCGTCACCCCCAGCCTTGGCCTCCTCTACACCCTGGTAGCACCTGCTCCCCACTCCTTGAATTAACAACTATTAAATTGTTGCTGAAATCCCCTTTGCCAGCCATTGTAGCCTCTTAGTAACTAGCATTTAAACTCTTTTCACTCACTGTCTCATGCTAATCCTTCTGCTACAATTCTATTCAAAGGAAATAAAAATATGTTGGAGGCAAAGATGACCCAGCTTCGTCTCACATACTTTGGGCCTGTTGCTAGGAGAGGATACTCCTTGGAGAAGGATATCAAGCTTGGAAAGGGGGGAGTCAATGAATGAAGGGAAGACCCTCAGTGAGGTGGATTGACACAGTGACCTCAGCAGTGGACACAAATGTGTCAGTGATGAGGATGGCACTGGACAGGACAGGGTTCAAATGTCACTGTCAGCCGTACTCAGCAATACCTACCCACAACAACAATATCTGAAATCTTATAAAATATTGGTGATCCTTTGACAATTAGGGGAAACACCTCCTAGCTATTAGTTTTGAGATGTATCACGTCTTTCCAGAATGGCTCTGTTGAACTGCGTAGGGTAAATCTCTGAGTTATCCATAGTTGAAGCACAGAGACAAGGCTACAGTAATTCACAAACTTTCAAGTGCTTCACAGCCTATCTTCCCAGTGAGCTTTATAAAGAGCCCCTGCCCTTTAATCCTCCCTAGACAATGTATCCAGTATATATCCAATAGATCAATATATATCCAAAATATATCCAGTAAATAAAGAAGGGAGTTAACTTACTGACCTTTAGTTGATACTAACATAACAACCCCACAGGACAGAATAGAACTTCCTCACAGAGTCTCCAACGCTGTAGTCTTTATACAAGGAAGTTGCCACATTTTCCACCAGCAGAGTAGCTGGTGAGTTCAAACCACCAAACTCTGTGTTATCAGTTGAGCTCTTAATTACTGCACCACCAGCTCTCTAACTAAAGAAATACCCTATGCAAGCAAAAAGCTTTATGTATACATATACACTATTTAAAAAAGAATCACCAGTGACCATCCTGAAATGATTAGTACCATATCCTGGCATTTACTGAGGATTTGCCATGTCCCATGAGCAGTGATTGGGTGCAGTACCACTGAGTCAGTTCCCAGTCATGGTGACCCCTCTCAACAACAGAATGAAGCACACTCAGTCTTCACAGTTGTTGCTATCTGTGGACTCAGTGTAGCCTTTTGTCAGTTATCTTGTTGAGGTCTTCATCTTTCTTGCTGATTCTGCCTTACCAAGCAAGATGCCCTTCTCCAGGGACTAGTCTCTCCTAATAACATACCACAAGTGTGATATGGGACTTCATTCCATCCCAAGGAGGTTAAGTATTTGCTCTTCTTGCTACTAAGGAACATTCTGGATATACATCTTCCACGGCAGATGTATTCATTCATCTGACACTTTTCCGTATAGTCAGTATTCTTCAGCAACACCATTAGTTCAAAGGCATCAGTTCTTCTTTGATCTTCCTTATTCATTGTCCAGCTTTGACACGCATATGAGACAATACAGAATATTTTGGTTTGGATCAGGCAATACCTTAGTTCTCAGGGTAACATTTGTTGTTTTTTAACACTTAGGGACCAGATACTGTTGTTTTTTATTATTATTATTATTATTGTCATTCTGAAATGAGGAAAACTGAGCATTAGAAAGATTTATAAACATAAAGTAAATGAAGGAGCTGGCATTCAGACACAACTACACTTCCCTAACCATTGCACTCTGACAGAGCAGGAGAGGAAGACCCTCGATGAGATGGATTGATTCAGTGACTGAGGTAATGGGGGTAGGTGTGTCGGAGACCGTGCAATTGGCACAGGATAGAGCAGGGTTTAGGGCTGTTGTATATAGGGTTCCTATGAGTCGCAGGCAACTCGATGGCACATACCAACAACAACAACCATTGTACTATATTTTGGCTTTTTGTCCATTTATTCTGGGGTAGATGTATTTCCTTGTCAGTCTATAGATCTGCCTCATCCTTTTTTTGTATGTATGTGTGGTTTTTTGCCCCCTGCTTCCCCATCCTCCTTTAAAAGCTGTATATGAATACATGATTTATTGAACTGCTTCCTGTTGATAGATAAGTAGCTTATTTCGCTTTCACCTTGTTGGTGTGGTTCATAGGGTGTTGCCCTGCTAACAGTACAAAAGCTATGCCTTTTAGTGGTTCAGATTTGCCAGCAGCTCCACAAGAGAAAGATGGGCAACCTCCTCCCATGCAATTTACAGCCTTAAAGAACCTGTTGGAGGGTCAGGTATGAGTCAGTTCCGAGTCAGCAGCAATGAAAGAGAGGGAGTGTACTGGAAGATGGGGTGACCTCAGGCACAAGGAGCCCCTCCCATACTGATTCGCTCTGTCTCCTGCACTCTACCTAGCTGTCAGGTCTGTTTTTACTGGCACTGCAAGCTGTGCCTTCATCCTCCCTCTCTGCTGTTTATTTCCCAACTCGAAAGGAAGCATCATCTGCCCTGACCCCCAAGTCTGGTTCACAAAGTTTTTTTCCATCCCAGCTGACCCTGCCCCAAACTCCTCTTGCTTGGACATCATAAAGTATTAGGGAAATGAAAAATAACTTGAAAAAATGTTAAGAAGTAATGAGAGCAAGCCTGAAGCACTCTGCCCCAAGACCAGTGGTTCTTAACCAGAGGCAGTTTTACCACATGTACCCCCAACAGGAGACATTCAGCAGTAGTCTGTCCTGTAGAGGGTAAAACCAAGTTGCTCTCTGGAGGCAAGGATTTTGAAGCTCTGTCTCAAATACTTTGGCCATGTTGCTAGGAGGAACCAGTCCTTGGAGAAGGACGTCATGCTTGGAAGGGCGGAGGGACAGTGTAAGAGAGGAAGACCCTGGATGAGATGGATTGAAACAGTGGTTGGGGTAATAGGGGCAGGTGAGTCAGAGATAGTGAGATTGGCTCAGGATAGGAGAGAGTTTAGATCTACTGTTCATAGGGTCACTATGAGTCACAGATGACTTGACATCACATAAGAACAATGACATTTCTGGTTGTCACAACTGAGGAATGCTACCGGCATCTCTCTAGTAGATAGAGGCTGGAGATGCTGCTCAGTATTCTACAGTGTACATTGCAGTGTTAAAACAATGTTCCTAGCCCCAAAAGTCACTAATTACAGGTTTAAGAAACTCTGCCCTACAGGTACCTGTATCTCATGAACTGCCAAAAGAGCAAGGAAGTCTGTCTTGGAGGAAGTGCAACCAGTAGGCATCTTAGAGGCAGGGATGCCTCTAAGCATCCTTCATCTCATGTACTTTGAGCATGTTGTCAGGAGAGGTCAGTCCTTGGAAAAAGACAGCATGCTGGAAAAGACAGAGGGTCAGAGAAAGAGAGGAAGATCTTAAACAATGGGTTGATACAGTTACTATAATACTGAACTGGAGCATATCTGATATTGTGAGGATGGCTGGCCCAGGATAATGCAAGACTCAGATCTGTTGTGCATAGGGTCGCTATAAGTTGTAGTAAACTCAATATTACCTAAAAACAACACATATTATCTAGGCACAGAATCTGCATGTAAATGAGGGTCCCACAAGTCTTACTTCAGGCCAGAACTGTGCAATCAAATGGAATCTAAGGACTCATTCAAGACTATTGCTTCCTCAATTCACACATAAGAAAACTGAGGCATAAGAGACTGAAAATAATGACAGCTGCTATGTCTTCTGTGTGCTAAGTCTTATATACTCCTTACCTTACCTGGTATCTATATATACCCACCCCCAAAGAGCAAAAATAGTCAACCCTTGAGATTCATAGGGGAAGACTTGTGTTGCTTTTAGCTACAAGAATGGGAGATATTGTCTTTTTTTTAAAAAAATTATATTTTTTCTTATTCATTGTTGCCCTCCTCCTGCTTGGGTATCATAAAGTATTAGGGAAATGAAAAATAACTCTTTCTCAAAAAAATTCTCAACAGTGATGAGAGCAAGCCTGAAGCTCTCTGCCACTATACCAGTGGTTCTTTCCCCCGCTCCCCCAGCACTTGCCGCAGTGCACCGTTTGTTTCAGATTATTGTCATACATATAATGCCTAGTCATATATGCTTTCCAGACAGTTCTTCCCTCATCTGTTCTCTTGCAGTGTTCATTATCAATCTATTCTTTTTCCAGTCTCTTCCAACCTCTCATGTCGGTCCTATTTTACAACAGTGGTGTTATTCATTATTTGTCCTTTTGTAACTGAGATATATCACTCAACATAATGTCCTCCATGCCCACCCATGTTGGGTAATGTTTTATGAGTTTATTGCTTTTTAGTGCTGTGTAACATTCCATTGTATGAAATTACCCTCATTTTTCTATTCATTTGTTTGTTGTTGGGCACTTGGGCTGCTTCTGTTTTGCTATTGTGAATAACGCAGTAATAAACATGGGTGTGCATACATCTGTTTGAGTGTGGCTCTGGTTTCTTTGGGGTATATTCAAGAATGAGAAATATTTTCCATCTTCACTTGAAAAGAACAGAAGTCTTCTAAGGCTTTCTTTGGAGAGTTGTTCATGCTCCTGTTTCCTTGGACATAGGGCCAGGCTGGAGAAGGAGAGGGATCGAGCCAGGATGACAGGAGGAAATCCTGTGGAGGTGGCCCAGGATACACAGAGAGAACGACGTATCTTCCAGCTGCATATGTGCGAGGTAAAGGTGCAGCAAGAATGAGGGTAGGGGTCCTATGTGTCCTTCTGTCTCTCTCACTTACCACCCCCCCGCCCCGGGGGGAGCCCAGTCACAGTCTTAGTTCAAGTCTTGACCAGATGGCCCTGTGGATATCACTAAAGCTCAGTCATGCCCAGGGGAACTAGTCTGGCATGGGGACTGCAGCCCTTTGTTCCCAGAAGTCCGCTTCGACTCCTGTCACACCCCTTGCCCTGCCTTTCCTCCTAGTATCTGCTCAAAGCTGGGGAGAGCCAGGTGAAGCAAGGTCCTGATTTCCTGCAGAGCCTCATCAAGTTCTTCCACGCCCAGCACAAGTATGTTATCTCCCCACGTGCCAGGGATGCAGGACCCTACTCTCACCTCATGTCCCTCACCCCTTAACTCTTGCAGGTAACATAGAACAAGGCCTGTTCCTGGGTCTAGCAGACCCTCCATGACTGTGTGGATGGCTCTGTGCTTGGTACTACCCTTTACAGCATCTCGTTACTGAGTGCTCACCGTGTGTCAGTCACAAAATGCTGTACATGCTTAAGCTCACTTAATCCTCAATAGTCCTGTCAGCAGAGACTGTTACTATCCCCATTTAAGAGATGATAAAACTGAGGCTCAGATTTATAAAGACCACACAACTAGTCAGTGAAACCTGCCTCAAGCGTACTTGCCCTTGACCATCAGACTACCCTGTCCCCAGGTGCCCTGTGAGCCTTAGAATAATTCCAACCTATACTTCACACTTCCCTTTTAATTTCCATTTACTTATGGGCCCTTGTTTGGATCTCTGACTCCTCTCAGCTTTTTCCAAGATGGCTGGAAAGCTGCTCAGAGTCTGTCTCCCTTCATTGAGAAACTGGCGGCCTCAGTACACACGGTAAGTGAGGCCTCCCTCAGCCACTTGAGGAAGATCTCTGTCCATCTGGAAAAACTTGGTATGAGAGAGCTGGCGTTTGCCCAGGTAGCAAGCCAGTTGTCCTGCTCTGGGTCTGGCTGTGCTGCTGGACCTGTGCAGACTGACGAGAACCATTCTGCCCTCTGTCCCACAGCTTCGCCAAGCCCAGGAGGAAGAGCTGCAAAAGCTGGCTCAGCTCCGGGACTCTCTCAGGGGGGCACTGCAGCTCGAAAACAGAGAGGTCAGCCCCTGAACTGTTCTCAAAGAAATATCCTTTCCCAGGTCCCACCAGGGAGGGAGGAGGGTCCCACAGGTCCCCCGGTGCCATTTCCCTGAGTGAGAACTCCAAAGAATGAAGGTGTCTGCTTTGCATTGGAGGAACAGGAGAGTATGGGCCGGAAGAACTCGGGCAGCTACAGCATCCATCAGCATCAAGGCAACAAGCAGTTTGGAACGGAGAAGGTGGGCTTTCTATACAAGAAAAGTGATGGGTAAGTGATCCAAATTGTAAGTAACTTGCCCAAAGTCACACAGCTGGTTATCGGCAGAGTCAGGCAAGTAGCTGCCCAAAGGAACTGTTCTTGTCATTGCTGTGTTGTGTTGTGTCAGGGTTCCACAATCAACAGGCAATACACCATCATCAGAATCTTAGGGCATACATGGGATCTGCACGTGTGAACTTCTGCTAAAGACCGTTGTTGTTTATTTCAGTTGTGTCAAAACCAACTCATAGCTGATCCTGAGGCTGTAAATCATGGAAGAAAATTGCCCTTCTGTCTTGCAGGGAACATCTGGTGGCTGCAAACTACTGCCTTTAGCCTGGATCTGTAACTTGTTAGCACTAAACCACCAGAGCTCCCAAAGATCACCAGTGTTCTTAGCTTTAAGAATAGCAGCAGTTCCCAGAGGTACACGGTTCAAATCCACCAGATGCTCTGCTGGAGAAGGAGGTCAGATCTGATTTGATGGTACACGTAAAAATAATAAAATTTTAAAAAAAAAAGAATAGCAGCAGTTAATATTTCGTCATCATTCACTATGCCCTGGACAGCCAGCTAGCTCCATGCCCTCGCTTTTAGCAAGTACAATACAATGAATATGCCTGGAGATGAAAGTGTTGGCTGTACTTGCTCCATGATGTTTAAAAACAAACAAAAAACCCCAGACTATGAAATGCAAAGGCCCTTATGTGGTGTGTTATGTGCTGTCTAGTTTAGTCTGACTCACAGCACCCTATGAACAGCAGCTCTGAACCTCATCCTATCCCATGCCGTCCTCATGATCTCTGACACACTCGAATACGTTGCTACAGTCACTGTCAAACCATCTCAGGGAGGGTCTTCCTCTATTTTGTTATGGAGTGTATTCATGTTTTATTCTTTAGGGATAAAAAATCCCAGATAGCAGGACTGTGCTTCCATCATCAGACTGGGAACTTCTGAAGGGCAGGACTCGTGGAGGATGAAGGGTGGCTGGGGTCAAAATATCAAGGGGATAAAAAGATGCAATAGAAGATTATGCCTGTGGGGCTTGGGGCCTGGTTCAGGACTCTTGTCTAAGAGAGGGGAGTTACCTGTGACCTTTTAAGTGACTACCCTTCTCTTTCTCCGGGTTTTAGAATTCGAAGAGTCTGGCAGAAGAGGAAGTGTGGGGTCAAGTACGGCTGCCTGACCATCTCACACAGCACGGTGAGGGGGTGAGGGCCTCATGGAACTCAAGGAGGTTCCTCTCCTTATGATGTTCTCTGCAGACAAGTGCTACCCCTCCTTCCAAGACTGGCCCCTAAGATATCTGTACGGTGCCTTAGAGACTCCCTTCCCTGAGAAACTGGCATGTATGGATAGAAGTGCGTTCAGGGTGCTGGAGAGCCTTGTTGGCCAGAAGGATGGGAGCCAAGATTCCCATCCTCGTCTTTATCCACAATCTGTATCCTTTGAGGTGCTGGGGAGGAGGAAGCATAAGATGGAACAAGATTCGTATGTCCATTTAACAGAGTAGGCCATTGAAGCCCAAAGAATTTGGAAGGCCTAAAGGGGTACATGTTCATCCCCACCTTCTAAATGCCTGCAGATAAATCGACCCCCAGTGAAACTGACTCTCCTGACGTGTCAAGTAAGGCCAAACCCTGAAGAGAAAAAGTGCTTTGACCTAGTGACTCGTAAGTGGTCCTTGTCCCCTGCCCTATGGCTTTTCTAAGTTGTCACCTCCTGGGAAGCTTAAGCAGGGATTTTTCCACTTCCTCTCTAATTTATTGAATGTTTGTTGTTGTTGTTGTTAAGTGCCTTTGAGTCGTAGGTGGTTCATGGTGACCCTATGAACGATAGGATGTGTAAAATTAAGCGTGGGTTGGTGGGGAGAGCATTGAAGAGATAGAATCAGCTTTATGAAAGACATGGAGGCGGGAAAGTAGGTCTGGACAGTCTGGCCAGGGTGAGTGGTTCTTTTAGGAGCAGTAGGAGATGAGACTTGGGACTACCTTCTAAAAGTTGTTGTTGCGACTCATAGTGACCTTATATACAACAGCCCTAAACCCTGCACTATCCTGTGCCAATCTCACTGTCTCCGACACACTCATCCCAATTACCCCAGTCACCAAATCAATCCATCTCCTAGAGGGCCTTCCCCTCCTGCGCCTGCCCTCCACCCTCCCAAGCATGATGTCCTTCTCCAAGAACTGGTCTCTCCTTACAACTTGACCAAAGTATGTCAGACAAAGCCTCAGAATCCTTGCCTCCAAGGAGCAGCACGGTTTAACCCTTTCCAGGACGAATCTGTTTGTTTTCCTAGCAGTCCATGGTACCCTCAATACTCTTCTCCAGCACCTCAGCTCAAAGGCATCAATTCTCGTTCTATCCTCCTTAGTCATTGTCCAACTCTCTGATGCATATTAGATTTTATTTCCTAGCAGCAGGGAGCCCTGGGAGATCTTAGAGCAGAGAAGTGTGTCATTAGAGCAGAATCTTGGGCGAAGCAATCTAGTGAGGAGGAAGAAGTAGGAAGCAGGGAGACCAGGGAGGAAGCTGAACGCTGAGCAGTAGGGATGAATAACATCCTCTCAGTTACTCGGGATCCTCCCCTTGCTCCTGGAACTAGAGTCTGGGTAGAGGGGGCTGTTCAGGGGGAGCTTTGATGGGTTCCTACTTGGGAGGGACTTCTGTGAGGTTGTTCCCTCTCCTGGTCACTCTTAATATCCTCCCCACCCATGATGTGGGAGATCCCCCTTTAGGGACAAAAGTTCTGTCTGTACCTGCTGGTTTGAGTGAGGGCTCCCAGGCTCCAGGGAAAGCACGCAGGATGGCTGTGAACTAGATGCCCCGTCATCTCCCCACAGACAACCGAACGTACCACTTCCAGACGGAGGATGAACATGAGTGTGAGGCGTGAGTGCCCCCACGCCAGCCTTGGGATGGGGACAGAGGAACGTCTTCAACCCCCAGCCTCTGGGTGTGATACAGGCCCCCACAGTTGGGCTGTCACCCCCAAGTTACCCGTACACTCTCCACAGATGGGTGTCAGTACTGCAGAATAGCAAGGACGAAGCCTTGAGCAGTGCCTTCCTTGGGGAGCCCAGCAGTGGCCTGGGGCCCTATGGAGGAGCAGGGCAGGACAGGGAACCCCAGGACCTCACAAAGCTGCTAATTACTGAGGTGAAGAGCAGGCCCGGGAACAGCCAGTGCTGCGACTGTGGAGCTCCAGGTTGGTCAGTGGGGTCTGGGTGTCTTGGGGCGGCGGAAGGGGAGGGAAGGAGCCGCATTCCCAGGGATGAGCTGCTATACCTTGCAGACCCCACGTGGCTCAGTACCAACCTGGGCGTGCTCACCTGCATCCAGTGCTCTGGCGTCCACCGCGAGCTGGGCGTGCGCTTCTCACGCATTCAGTCCCTCACCTTGGACCTGCTGGGCCCCTCGGAGTTGTTGGTGAGAGCCAGGGCCAGGGTGAGAGGAGGCCTGGGGTGGGGTTTGACCCAGGGTAGACTTAGATCCACTGGCTCTTGTTAGAGGTTTTAGGCTTGAGAGTGAGGCGGGGGATAGAGGTAGAGCTTGATCTAGAAGGTCAAGGACAGGGATTGGACAGGAAGAATGCCCAAGGAGTGGAACTTCTGGATGCTTGCCCCACCAGAGGGCACTGTCCTTATAAAACCACCCAGTCTTAGCTACTACTTTATTTCCACCCAGCTGGCCTTGAACATCGGCAACACGCACTTCAATGAGGTTATGGAGGCTCAGCTACCCTCGCATGGCAGCCCTAAACCTTCAGCTGAGAGTGGCATGTAAGAGGATTCTCAGCTAGAGGGTCATCTTACCTGGGATCTTCCACTTGAGGGCGAGTTTCAGAAGGGCAAGGGGTGTGGAGAGAGGGAAGACTCAGACCTGGGAGCCCTCAATACATGATTCTCTGGGTAGCACTCACAGGGTTGATGTGAGACCTGTGTCTCCATTGGGATGGATTCAGGGTCAAGTTGCAGGGGACACACCCCATGCCCTGAGATGTGTGGCTGTTTTGACAGGAGCCCCCGCAGGGATTATATTGTCGCCAAGTATGTGGAACACAAATTTGCCCGCCAGTCAATCTTTGAGCCTCGAAGACTCAGGACAGCTATTTACAACCGGGACCTCCTATCAGTACTGGAAGCCTTTGCTAATGGGCAAGACTTTGGACAGCCACTACCCAGACCGGAGGGACAGGTAGGAACCCCCTCCACGGGCTACCCATACGTCCATACCTCAAACCTCCAGAACCAGCTCTGGTATCAGTTGATGCTCAACACCTGTGCATCTGAGAGATAAATGAGAAAAACCATAATTTCAGTCCATCTTGGCTCTGCCGCCTCCTAGTGATGTGATCCAGAGGAAGCTGGTTAGCTTTCCTGGGTCTTCACTTCATCATCTGTAGAGATGGATTAATAGTAGCATTCACAGGGTTGAAGTGAGAATTCATACAGGGCCCTGATGTCTAATAGAGAAAACCAGTAATTCCACTCTCTGCTGTTGAGTTACCCTCTGGTGGGTTCGCAAAGGCTGTTCTTGTAGAACCTTAGAAATGGGTGAAGATCTGTCTGATTAGAGCAGAAAAGGCGATTGCATGGGCTGTTCTAGAAACTGAACCATTAGGCAAGCAAGGGGATTCAAGCTGGTGAGGAATAGAAAGAAAAAGAGATATGTAAAAGCCTAAGTCAGCGGGAGCGACTGGCTGATGAAGCGAAACCCCTTACTGTCGAGTCAGTTCCAAGTCGTCATGACCCCTTCAGTTACAGAGTAGCACTGCTCCTTAGGTTTTACTTGACTGTCATCTTTACCAAAGCAGCTCTTTTCTTCTGAGGTGCTGCAGGTGAGTTCAAATCATCCACCTTTAGGTTAGGAGATGAACACAGATCATTGGCACCTCCAAAGAACTTGGCTGGCTGGACATGAGAACAATAGCACTTACCATGTGTCGGGCACCAGGAGGAGACTATGACCATCTGACTCTCTGTGTGGGACATCCTGGTCCTTGAGCTGCCTGCTCAGTATCCTGGGGACCAGTGACGGTGCAGCACTTAGATGGTGCCTGTTCAGTATCCAGAGGGTACAGCACTCAGATGTTATAAGAGTTTGGAACAGTCTAAACAGGAGTTGACAAGTGGAAGCCTAGGATTGCATGAGGTCTGGGGGCCATAGGAGCAGAGAGAGAGAGGAGCCAAGGGCCAAGGATCAATATTTAGGAAACACCTTTTGGAGACAAGAGGAAACTGAAAGGATGAAAGAATGAATGGTCCTTTGCTCTCCTTTCACAGATGAGGTTCCTTCCATCTGTTCAGTGTCATTTCTTACAAGTCTGACAATTTCATGTCTGGGGTGTCAGAGGGCAGTAGGCGCTTGTTGGGTTGGGTTTAGGTGGGCTGCAGAGACTCAGCAGGATGGTCCTGTGCTCAGGTGCCTGGAGAACTCGCTCTGCACTTGGCCGTCCGAGTCGCCAACCAGGCCTCCCTGCCCCTGGTGGACTTCATCATCCAGAATGGGTGAGAGCCCCTGCTTCTCTGTCTACCTCTTTGCATTCCTCCCCTTCTTTCCTCCTTCTCTCTTCCTGCCTTTCCCCTCTTTTTGCCCTTGACCTAGACCCTCTCACCTGTCTGCCCCTGCGTCTGTCCCTGACCTCCTCCTTAGTGGTCACCTGGATGCCAAGGCCCCTGATGGAAATACTGCTGTGCACTATGCTGCCCTCTACAACCAGCCTGACTGCCTCAAGCTGCTGCTGAAAGGGAGAGCTTCAGTCAGCACAGGTGGGGCTCAGACACCTCCTCCCTCAGACGCCCAGCCCCAGCTTGTGTGGGCCTTGCCATCCTCCCCTCAGACCCAGAGAGTACTGGGAACAAGCATGGACTTCGCACCGACATGAATGCTAATCCCGCCTTGTCTCTGCCCTGCTCTGTCACCTTGAGGACTTAATCAGTTTCTCTCTTGAGTCTCAGCTTCCTCATCTGAGTCCAGTACCAACTACTTAGTAGGGTGGCTGAGAAGATAAAATGAAATGTTTGTGAAAGTATTTAGCCAGATATTAGCTGAATCTGAATCATCATCATCGTCATCATCATTTCTGAATAACAGCTCCAGCAGCTGCTCTGAGAGAAAGATGGGTCAGCTAGAGAGTCAGCTCTGAGTCAGTTCCAACTCAGTGACAGTGAGTTTTGTTCTTTTTTTGGATTTGTTTTTTTATTTTACATCTGTGGATGTGGCAAGCTCTCCTGCAGATGTCCTGGGAGGTAGACAGTGAGATGAGGAGTGAGAAGGGGGTTAGGACCTAAACTTGACAAGAAAAGACTCGTGGAGGGAAGAGAAGCTTGAGGAGGAAGGGGAGAGATCCCCTGACGACTACAGGAAATCAAACATGCTTTCTTTTTCAATAATAGTTCACATTTACTGTTTAACATGTGCCTTGTTTTGTGCTGAGAGCTTTATGTACAGGAACTCATTTAATCCTCCCAAGAGCCGTACTGCCGTAATTACAAGTCTCATACTCGTTTTCTAGTTCAGAAAATTACGGCTCAGAGAAGACACATAAGTTTTTCATGGTCACACAGCGAGCAAGTGACAGGCCCAAGATTCAAACCCACACACATCTGATTGCAGAGCCCTCTCAACCTCATGCTGTAGCTGTAATGCCCCTTTGGCCCTGACTGCTGACTGTCCTTTATAGTGAATGAAGCAGGAGAAACCGCTCTGGACATTGCCAGGAAGAAGCAGCACAAGGAATGTGAAGAGCTGGTGAGTACAGGGAAGAGGGGGGGCCCTGACTCTTTCTCTCTCCCCACCGGGTCCCTAGCCCTCTGGACTGCCAAACCTTTGTTGGTGACAGCTAGAGCAGGCCCAGGCTGGGACTCTTACTTTCCCTCTGCACGTGGACTACTGTTGGGGAATGTCCATGGAGACTGGCTCTGACAGTGAGGAGGACGAAGAGGAAAAGGTACGTTCTAGCTCTACCTCCTACACTTCTGGGTTGGCTGGACCCCAGGGATGCCAGAAGGAAAGAGCCAGCCTGGTGTGGGGATGGATGGGACTGAATTGGAGGAACCAGGCTCCAGTCCTTCTTACACTTCTGTCCCTGCAGCACTGTCCTCTGAAGCCCCCAGCCCAGACACGCTGGGGCAGTGGGAGGCTGGACCTCAGCAACAAGACCTATGAAACTCTTACCAGCCTGGGGTCAGCCACCCCTCAGAGCCAGAATGACGACTCCCCCCCACCTTTGCCAATCAAAAACACTTCTCGGACCATGGTCCAGGGACGAACAGGACATGCCAGCGGAGGTACAGTTAGGTGCCCAGAAAAATAGTCATCGTACTGAGGGCCTATTGTGTGCTGGGCCACTGAGCTGAGTGTGTGTGTTTGTCCATATCATCCTTTTCATCCCCTGCAAGGTAGTGCTTACTATACCCTCTAATAGGTAAAGAAACAGATGTTAAGAAATATGCCCAAGGTGACAGCTAACAAATCTCTAATGTGAGACTCAAACACAAGTCTGTCATATCCCAAATTCCTCAGTGCTTCACTTAAGTGGAGAGAGAGGCAATTATTGAATTATATCTCAAGCCCTTCAGGGGTTGAGACCCAGTCTAATGGAGAAGATAAAAATTGGAGGACCCTGGAGGACATTATGCTGAGTAAAATATCTCAGTCACAAAAGGACAAATACTGCATGGTGCCACTGTTGTAGAAAGTGACTGACATCAGGGTTGGGGTAAGACTGAGAAAAACTGGATAGATTATGTATATTGAATTGAAACAGATGAGGGAGAGAACAGTTTAAAAGTGATATATAGTAGCATATTATGATTATCACAGGAATTCAGAATTAAGGTTGCATAGCAGAGTGCATTGGGGGGCAGGGAGGGTGGGGGTAGGGGCAGGGTGGGGGGTGGATTGTATACCAATGAAGAAGTTTATCCTTTGCTTTTCAAAGATAGGAGCAAACTGGCGGGGAGGGGTGGTAAAGAAAAAAAGTGCAACAATGAATGAATGAAAATCCAAAATATCTGTAAATGTTCATTAAAATTAATAAAATAATTTTTTTTAAAATTGGAGTACAGCTTATTACAAGGTGCAGTATAATTCATAGACTGTTAATCCCAAAAGACAGAGGTTCAGTATTTTGCTCATTGCTGTTTCTCCAGCACCTAGCACAGTGCTTGGCTATTCTCAAGAACTATTATTTGTTGAATGAATGAGCAGGCATGAACTCAGGGCACAGAGTGGGCATGTCCTGCTGAGATGGAAGTGTTTTAGTGATTCTTCCTGGAGACAATAGCATCTGAGCTCAACCTGAGGATCAGAAACAGTCCAGCCTGGGAACAGAGTGTTAGCAGAACCAAACAGTAAGTCACTGTGGCCCTGGCTGTCCTGAATGAGTAGTCCAGGGCACTGAAGCATGACAGAGTTGCCAGAAAATGCTAGAATAATAGAGGAGGAGGGAGCAGGAGAGAACCATGGTAGATCCTCAAGGCAAAGACTGCTTTGAAGACCACAGGCATGGTGGAAAATGATGACAGCTTTTATCCCCTGTGATTCCAGATTGTTTTGAAACCCCCAGCCTGAGCTCAGAAACCCCTGGGGTCCCCGAGAACTTGAGCAGCTCAGCCTCCTCCTCCTCCAGTCTCACAAGCCCTGTGGAGCATGGAGGTCCCAGCCAAGCCGCTCCCAGCTCTGAGGAGAGCCTCCGGGAGCCCCTGGGAACCACTCGACTCACCCTACCATCGGGGACCACTTCTGCAGAGATATATCCCCCTGTCAGGTTCAGGTAGGAGAGGACACAGCTGTGTAACCTGGGCCAGTCTGCTAACCTCTATGAGCATCCATTTCCCCGGTATTTAAGTGGTACCTGCCTGAATCCTGGGCTGTCTACCAGCTCTGAGGCGCTGTGCCTGCTGCCCCACCACACACTCGCCTTCACCCAGCTCTGGTCCGGAAACCCAGGAGGAAGCTGGAACACAGATTACTGAAGTCAGAGTAGAAAAGGCTCAGCTCCACCTTTGTTGTTTATTCTGGGGGCAGAGTGGACTTTTCAGTCTGTCCTGCAAACCCATCCTGGGATCAAGTCCTCTCCCTTTCCTTACCCACCCTTTCAGTTTGGGATTTGGGAGATGTAGGTTTGAGAATAGAATGCTTTGAGGTCTGTCCCAGGCCTCTTGAGCCTGTGATAGACTCAGCCTGGGACCCCATAGACTCTCTCTACCTGTCTTAAGCTTTGCTCTATACCTGACCCCTTTTCTCTTCCTCCGAGGGGCTTTCTATTCATACAGTCTTTACCTGCCTTCCAGCTCTGAGAACACTCGTTCCTATCGACGAGGGGCCCGGAGCGTGGAAGAAAGCCCCTCAGGCCATCAGCCACTGCCCAGGAGGAACATGCCGGTAGGAACTCAGCGAATGTGGTTTGAGGTTGGTGGCAGGGTGCCTGGACAGTACATTCAGTAAGTGTACGGCAGTGATGTTGGATCAAGAGAAGGTGACTGGGGCCACAGTTTGGCCATGCCTTGTGCTGGTATTCTTCCTTCTGGCTTTAGCCCAGGGCAGGAGAAGGTGGGGAAAACTTGGGCCTTGAGTGATGGCAGAGGTGTGAGTACCCAAGCCAGGCTCCTCATAAAGGAGGGTGGAGAGTGCTGTGCCTGCCAGACTTGTCTCTCTGAGGAGTTACTTCCTTGTGTGCCTGTCCTTCGTTTATCGAACTTGCCCCGGGTACAGGAGTCTCCTGGCACCTGCTGAAACTTCCAGTTCCTAGGCACAGAGGAATATGACAGGGACAAAGCAAAATCCATCATCCCTAATCTTGTTTCACCCCGACCCAGAATCTCAGATACCTGGAAGTGGGAGTGGATGGGAGCCAGTCATGCAGAAAGAAGGACTCCACTGTTTCTTGTTCCCCCTGGGCATTCCTCCGCAATGGCGTGGATTATTTTCTGGGAGTGAGGGTAGACAGGAACCGGGACTAGGTTTCTCTGAGGAATCTTCCATCAAAGTCGGGCATCAGACATGAATCTTGATCCATATGCTGGTCCCACTATTGTTTTTAGCTGTGACTGAGTGGGCCTCGACTCATGACCTGAAAACCAGGTATTCATTACCCAGCATGGAGCTGATATTGTTGCCGTGTGTATGAAGAGCTCAGGCCTTGGAATCAGAAGGTCAAGTGGCTTTACTTCCTCTGGCTTGGCTTTTCTCTTCTATGAAATTGGGCGTAATTCAGTTCGCTCACAATAGAATAGTAATGAAACTAAGTGAGATAAACACCTGGTGTATAATAAGTGCTTAAAATGTCCATTTTCATCCTTCTCTCTCACCAGGTTGGCTTCACTGAAGGAGATGGCTCAAGGCCTGGGGTTCTCCCAGCAAGTTCTGTGCAACTTTTGCAAGACTAATTCTTGGCTGACCTCTTCGTGTCTGAACCATGCCCATGCCAGACCCCACGTTCAGAGCAAGGACTTGAGGCCACGAGACTAGAGAGTCTCGTGATCCATCACACTCGCTCAGCCCCTTGTTCCCCTGGGACTGGCCTTTCTCCTCACTCCTGTGGGCACCTTCGGGGATGCTAGCTCTTCCTTGTTAAAGTTAATGATGGCTTCTCTCCTTTATATCATTACCTATCAGGGACCAAGGAGTCCTGTGGCTCAGTCTGCATACTCCCAAGTTTACTTCAGCTACAGAAACCAACTCCGTCATCAGACCAGGACAGGTTCTTCCACCTGTCTAGGGGTTCTAGAAGGATAGACCTAACTTTCCTTTTTCAGTCTCCACATCCTGACTAAGGACTATACCTGACTAGAAACTGTCCTCTTAGTAATTTATTAGTCTAGTATCTGTTTACTGAGTTCCAACTCTATGCCTAGGGTCCTATGAGGCATTGCAGATGAAAGTGAATAAAACCAAGGGTCCTAGAGGTATGCTCCCTCCTGGGAGACTAATCCCAGTGTTGGGTTTAGGACTTAACTACAGAGAATGGTTCTGGGTTTGGAGGAAAGGCAGATAGTTTACACCTTATTCCCACAGCAATTGTCTGTAACCCATATAAATACTGTTTGGCTTACCACAGCCCAAGTTATTGTTAATTGTTGATTGTCAACAAGTTGATTGTCAACAAGTTGATTGTCAACAAGTTGATTACTACTCTTAATAACCATGTATACAGCTAGAACTTCTCCTTAGGGGTTTTTAAGGTTTTGACCTTTCTGGAACAGATTGCCAGACCTGTCTCCCAAGGTTGCTGGGAATGGATTTGAACCAACAATCTTTAAGTTACTAGTAGATCACTCAACTGCTTGTACTACTCAGTTGCCTTATAGCCTATGCTGTACTGGTTATTAAATATTCTGAATGTCACTCCTGTTGAGGGATAATGACTATCTTGGGACCTCCTTGTACCAGATAGGAAGTACCCAGCATTAGGAATCGTTCCCATTTGTCCATTTCTTGATTGAGTGGAGAAAAAAGGGGCTGTTCTTCTCTCAGTTAACTAAGAAGCCTTCCAGTCTATAATCAGGGAAGGGTCAAGAAGGGAGAAAAGAGCTCTGCCGGCGTGTCAGTGAGCCCGAGGGGAGGCCGGGTGCGCAGATCGGAGCTGCTTCGTCGCTGCCGGAACTTGCCACCATGAGTAGCACCCTAGCCAAGATCGCAGAGATCGAAGCCGAGATGGCTCAAACTCAAAAGAACAAGGCCACAGCGCACCATCTAGGACTGCTAAAGGCTCGTCTTGCTAAACTTCGCAGAGAACTCATTACTCCCAAAGGTGGTGGTGGTGGTGGGCCAGGAGAAGGTTTTGATGTGGCCAAGACAGGTGATGCTCGGATTGGATTTGTGGGTTTTCCATCTGTGGGGAAGTCAACACTGCTTAGTAACCTGGCAGGAGTATATTCTGAGGTGGCAACCTATGAGTTCACAACTCTGACCACTGTACCCGGCGTCATCAGATACAAAGGTGCCAAGATCCAGCTTCTGGATCTTCCGGGTATCATTGAGGATGCTAAGAATGGCAAAGGTAGAGGCCGTCAAGTTATTGCAGTGGCCCGAACCTGTAACTTGATCCTGATTGTTCTGGATGTCCTAAAACCTTTGGGGCATAAGAAGATCATTGAAAATGAACTGGAAGGCTTTGGCATTCGCTTGAACAGCAAAGCCCCCAACATTGGCTTTAAGAAGAAGGACAAAGGAGACATTAACTTGACAGCCACTTGCCCTCAGAGTGAGCTGGATGCTGAAACTGTGAAGAGCATTCTGGCTGAATACAAAACTCATAATGCTGATGTGACTCTGCGTAGTGATGCCACAGATGATGACCTCATTGACGTGGTGGAAGGAAACAGAGTTTATATCCCCTGCATCTATGTGTTAAATAAAATTGATCAGATCTCCATTGAAGAATTGGATATCATCTATAAGGTACCTCACTGTGTACCCATCTCTGCTCACCACCGCTGGAATTTTGATGACTTATTGGAAAAGATCTGGGACTATCTGAAACTAGTGAGGATTTATACCAAACCCAAGGGACAGTTACCAGACTACACATCCCCAGTTGTGCTGCCTGACTCCAGGACCACAGTGGAGGATTTCTGTATGAAGATTCACAAAAATCTTATTAAAGAATTTAAATATGCTCTGGTCTGGGGTCTCTCTGTGAAACACAATCCTCAGAAAGTGGGTAAAGATCACACGCTGGAGGACAAGGATGTCATTCAGATTGTGAAGAAGTGAACCCTTCCCACCGCCTCTGCCAGGCCTGCACAACAGCTGCATCCCCAGGACCAAGCACTCTGTCCCCCAATTCCCTTCCTTGGCTTTGGCAGCTGTCGGATCAGAATTCAAGGGAGGGAGATGGAAGAACCCAAACTGGAACTTCACTTTCCTTATCTTGATGTCACCTTGTATATTGTACAGCATAAAGAACCTGATTTGATGACTAAAAAAAAAACAAGAAGGGAGAAAAGAGAATGATAGAAAAGGAAAGGTGAAGACTTAAACAGTTATTCAGCCCCTCCTGTATAAAGCAGATATGTGAAGGCACCATGAACCACTGATACCTCAGCCATAGATCACTCGGAGCTTAGTTCTTGGTGGGTTTCCACCAGCTCAAGCAAGAGAAGCCAGCTGATGTCAATGACCAATCCAGCTGAGAAGCCCTGACAATCTGTGATTCCACAGGAACAGGGTTGTCTTTTGGATCCCCTATGTCTTGTTTTGTTCATCTCAGACTTACTATTTCACTGTCTCTAATAAATCATTTTCTTGGGAGACCGACCAAAAGCTTGTTCCCATGAAGTTGCTTCTGACTCATGTTGTATTAGATGCTGTCATAGCAAGCACAACCCATAGAGATCCCAATGAACAACAGATCGGATTCCTTCTCTATCCTGTGCCGTCCTTACACTTCCTGACACACTATAACCCATTTCAACAATCGCTGTGTCAGTCTACCTGGTTGAGGGTCTTCCTCTCCTTCACCAACCCTCTGCCTTTCCAAGCATGAAGTACCTCTCAAAGGAATAGCCTCTCAACAACATACCTGAAGTTTGAGAGCTGAAGCTTTATCATCTTAACCTCCAAGGAGCACTCTGGCTGTACTTTCTCCAAGACGTATTTGTTCTTTTGGCAGTCTGTGGAAATGTTCAGTACTCTTCTGCAACACCACAGCTCTAAGGCATTATTCTTCTTCTCTCATCCTTATTCATTGTCCAGTTCTCAGACACATAACAAGTGATTGGAAAAACTGTGGATTGAATCATGTGCACCTTAGTCCTTAAACTGACAACATTGCCCTCAACAATTTAGGGAGGTCCCTGACTACAGACTCTTCCAGTGCAGTATGTCTCCTGATTTCCTGACTGCTGCTATCAAGGGTATTAATTATGGATCCAAGTAAGATGAAGTCAGTGACAGTTTCCGTTTTTGAGGAGGAATGTGGCATTAGGATTGGAGAGTCATCAACAACCTGCGTTATGCAGATGACAGAACCTTGTTTGCCAAAACTAAGGAGGACCTGAAGCATTTGCTGCAGAAGGTCAAGGACTGCAGCCTTAAGTATGGATTAAAACTCAATGTCAAGGAAACAAAGATTCTTACCACTGGGTCAATTGGCAGCATCGTGATGGATGGTGAAGAGGTTGAGATTGTTAACAGCTTTAGTTTGCTTGGCTCCACAATCAGCACTCTTGGTACCAGCAGCCAGGAAGTCAGAAGACAAATTGCACTGGGGAAGTCTGCTGTCAAAGACCTCTCCAGAGTGCTGAAGAACAACAAGTCTGGAGACTGAAGTGCTTCTGCTCTGGGCCATGGTCTTTGCGATTATTTGCTATGCATCAGAAAGCTGAACAATGACTAGGGGTGATAGAAGGGGAATTGATGCCTCTGAGTTGTGGTGCTGGAGAATAGTATTGAATATACCATGGCCTGCCAGGAGAACAAACATGTCTGTCCTGGAGAGGGTCAAACTAGGCTGCTCTTGGGGGCAAGGATTCTAAAGCTCCATCTGACATACTTTAGGCATGTTGCAAGGAGGGACCAGTCTTTGGAGAGGGACATCATGCGTGGAAGGGTGGAGGGACAGAACAAGAGAGAAAGACCCTTGATTAGATGGATTAACTCAGTTCCTGGGATAATGGGGTAGGTGTGTCAGAGACAGTAAGGTTGGGTTCAGAGCTATTGTTCTAGGGCCACTATGAGTTGCAAGCGACTCGACAGCAATAACAACAATAACATCATGATGTTTCCTATTGGTCTGGTGTTAAGAATTTTTGCTTTCTTGACGTTAAGCTGCAATCCATATTGAAGGCTGTATTCTTTGATCATCTGCAACAAGAGTTTCAAGTCCTTCACACTTTCAGCAAACAAGGTTGTATCATCTGCATAATGCAGGTTATTGATGAGTCTTACTCCAATCTTGATGCCACATTCCTCTTCATAGATTCCAGCTATTTGAATACTTTGTTCAGCATACAGATTGAATAGGTATGGAGAGAGAATACAACCGTTGACACACTCCTTTCTTAATTTTAAACCATGTAGTGTTCCCTTTCCAAACAAGTGACCAGTGTCTCTTAAGTTTAGTGGTAATGTTCCCTGGGCGAAGGTGATGTATCCTGTAGAACTGGTGTGTAGTTAGGTTTTTCTTGGCCCGAGGGCCCCAACAATCCCGTGCAGTCTTGCGGACTTCCCTGTTATCTGTGAAGTGGGTGGAGGGTTTTAAGGTCCCTTGAGCTGTCCCGCTTTTCCGCCTGTGTGTGAAGCTTCAGATATAAGCTATCAGATCAAGGGCTGGACAATGGGAGATGTTGAACGGAGTGGGTAGAAGTGGATGGGTATCTTGGTGGATGGTGGAGCAGGGAAATAAGTGCGTAAAGACACTTGTGCCAGAGGCAAGGACAACACT